GTAGGGTAGGGTGAGGGTAGGGCAGGGTAGTGTAAGGGTAGGGTAGGGTAGGGACTAGGGTAGGGTAGGGTAGGGTAGGGACTAGGGTAGGGTAGGGTAGGGTAGGGTAGTAGGGTAGGGTATGGTAGGGCAGGGTAGGGTAGTGTAGGGTAGAGTTAGGTAGGGTAGAGTTAGGTAGGGTAGGGTAGGGTAGGGTAGGGTAGTAGGGTGGGGAATGGTAGGGTAGGGTAGGGTAGGGTAGGGTAGGGTAGGGTAGGGTAGGGTAGGGTAGTAGGGTAGGGTAGAGCAGGGTAGGGTAGGGTAGTAGGGTAGGGTAGGGTAGTAGGGTAGGGTAGGGTAGGGTAGGGTAGGGTAGGGTAGGGTAGGGTAGGGTTGAGTTCAAAAAGGGCCCAACATACAAAACACTTGAACACCCCGCAACTATCACCATCCCTTACAGTTCATTTAAAAACAGCTACCCAAATCTACCCAAATAATACAGCTAAAAATACAAGTCAATCACCCAAAGTAATGCACCCGTAACAGAACATAAATCAAAACATACAGTTATCTCGTAAACCTGTACCTCTATAGTCTATAAATCCTAAAAAGTCCGCCGCCCACGCCGCCGTCGGGGTTACTCCCAAAAAGGCTTATTGCGGCGCCGTCGATTGACGCAGGATGGTGAGATTTTCACCACTCGTGGGTCACGTCATTCAACAGGTCGTATTAAATTTTGGGCACGATTCGGCCGGGGGTGCGCCCGTGGCGCGTGCTCATGTGCGCCATAGGGTTAACATTAGAATCGGCAAAAACAGGCTATTGCTCGGGAACGGTAAGGGCTACGGGGGTGAAATTTTCACGCCAAGTCGATCGCGTGCACTCATTTGTCGTAATAAATTTTCGACGGTGTGGGTTCAGCGGTGTGCACGTGGTGGGGCCGCGGCCGGTGCCGAGCAAAACGCTCGTGCTTTAGGCTCAGTTGTTCACTTAAAAACCTGAGTGAAAAGCATCAGAGCCGGCAGGTCATTGACCTTTGACAACGAAAGCCGACACAAGGCACCGCTCGCCAGGGGGATTCGCCAGTAAATACAATTGATTTGTTTTTGCAATATCTCAGCCGTTTCTGGGCCGATTTAGCTGAAACTTGGACTGTCGGTGGTAGTGTAGTGTAGGGTAGGGTAGGTAGGGTAGGGTAGGGTAGGGTAGGGTAGGGTAGGGTAGGGTAGGGTAGGGGATTGTAGGGTAGGGTAGGGTGGGGTAGGGTAGGGTAGGGTAGGGTAGGGTAGGGTAGGGGTAGGGTAGGGTAGAGTAGGGTAGAGAAGGGTAGGGTAGGGTAGGGTAGGGGTAGGGGTAGGGTAGGGTAGTGTAGGAGTAGGGTAGGGTAGGGTAGGGTAGGGTAGGGGTAGTGTAGGGGTAGGGGTAGGGTAGGGTAGGGGTAGGTTAGAGTAGGGTAGGGTAGGAGTAGGGGTAGGGTAGGGGTAGGGTAGTGGTAGGGTACGGTAGGGTAGGGTAGGGTAGGGTAGGGGTAGGGTAGTGTAGGGTTAGGGGTAGTGTAGGGTAAGGGTAGGGTAGTGTAGGGGCAGGTTTGGGGTAGGATAGGGTAGGGTAGGGGTAGGGTAGGGTAGGGTAGGGTAGGGGTAGGGTAGGGTAGGGTAGGGTTGTGTAAGGGTAGGGTAGGGTAGGGTAGGGTAGGGTAGGGTAGTGTAGGGGTAGGGTAGGGTAGGGTAGGGTAGGGTAGGGTAGGGTAGGGTAGGGGTAGGGTAGGGTAGGGGCAGGGTAGGGTATGGTAGGGTAGTGTAGGGTAGGTTAGGGTAGTGTAGGGGTAGGGGTAGGGTAGGTTAGGGTAGGGTAGGGTTGAATTGAGTAACATCCTAACTTACAAAGGGCTCGAACAACTCGCATGCATCACCATCATACTTTATAGTTTAATTAAAAGCAGTTACCCAGTTCTACACAAATAATACCAACAAAAATGCAAGTTTCTACACCCAAACTAATGCATCCGTTAATCATACATATCAAAACATACAGTTATCGCGTAAACCTGTACCTCTAGTCTATCTATATTATAAATCCTAAAAAGTCCGCCGTCGGGGTTACGCCCAAAAAGGCTTATTGCGGCGCCGTCGATTGACGCAGGAGGGTGAAATTTTTGCCACTCGTGGGTCGCGTCATTCAACAGGTCGTATTAAATTTTGGGCACGATGCGGCCGGGGGTGCGCCCGTGGCGCGTGCTCACGTGGTGTGCCATAGGGTTTACACTAGAATCGGCAACAGGCTATTGCTCGGGAACGGTAAGGGCTACGGGGCTGAAATTTTCGCTGTAAGTCGGACGCGTGCACTCAATTGTCGTATAAAATTTTCGAGGGGGTGGGTTCAGCGGTGTGCACGTGGTGCGGCCGCGACCGGCGCCGAGCAGAAGGCACGTGCTTTAGGCTCAGTTGTTCGCTTAGAAAACTGAGTGAAAAGCATCAGAGCCGGGAGGTCGTTGACCTTTGACAACGAAGGCCGACACAAGGCACCCCTCGCCAAGGGGACTCGCCAGTAAATACGATGAATTTGTTTTTGCAATATCTCAGCCGTTTCTGGGCCGATTTAGCTGAAACTTGGACTGTCGGTGGTAGTGTAGGGTAGTGTAGTGTAGGGTAGGGTAGTGTAGGGGTAGGGTAGGGTAATGTAGGGGTAGGGTAGGGTATGGTAGGGTAGGGTAGGGTAGGGTAGGGTAGGTTAGGGTAGGTTAGGGTAGGATAGGGTAGGGTAGGGTAGGGTAGGTTAGGGTAGTGTAGGGTAGGGTATGGTAGGGTAGGGTAGGTTAGGGTAGTGTAGGGTAGGGCAGGGTAGGGTAGGGTAGGGTAGGGAAGGGCAGGGTAGGGTAGGGACTAGGGTAGGGTATGGTAGGGTAGGGTAGGGTAGAGTTAGGTAGGGTAGAGTTAGGTAGGGTAGGGTATGGTAGGGTAGGTAGGGTAGGTAGGGTAGGGTAGGTAGGGTAGGGTAGGGGTAGGGGTAGGGGAAGGGGTAGGGTAGGGTAGGGTAGGGTAGGGTAGTGTAGGAGTAGGGTAGGGTAGGGTAGGGTAGTGTAGGGGTAGGGTAGGGTAGGGTAGGGTAGTGTAGTGTAAGGGTAGGGTAGGATAGGGTAGGGTAGGGTAGGGTAGGGTAGGGTAGGGTAGGGTAGGGTAGGGTAGGGACTAGGGTAGGGTAGGATAGGGTAGGGTAGGATAGGGTAGGGTAGGATAGGGTAGGGTAGGATAGGGTAGGGTAGAGTAGGGTAGGGTAGGGTAGTAGGGTAGGGTAGGGTAAGGTAGGGTAGTAGGGTAGGATAGGATAGTAGGGTAGGGTAGAGTAGGGTAGGGTAGTAGGGTAGGGTAGGGGTAGGGTTGTGTTCAAAAAGGGCCCAACATACAAAACACTTGAACACTCCGCAACTATCACCATCCCTTACAGTTCAATTAAAAACAGCTACCCAAATCTACCCAAATAATACAGCTAAAATACAAGTCAATCACCCAAACGAATGCACCCGTAACATAACATAACTCAAAACATACAGTTATCGCGTAAACCTGTACCTCTAGTTTTTGATAACTTCTAAAGTTTCTACGCTTCCGTTCCGGTATCTATCGGCTTGGCTCCTCCCAAGCGGAAATTTCATTTCTCCGATAACAAAAGCACATGAGATTTGGTACGTGCCAATTCACATTCAAATCGGATATGGCCTTGGAGCAATCATTCAGAATCCCTCATGTCTGAGGACCTTTGAAAATGCAATCAGAATATGATAAAGGAAAGTGGCAGTACCAAGAAAATACCAAAGTAATGAAGTCAAAGTCATCGTCCGCGCCGGTAGCGTTCCAAGAACAGTACCTTAATGAATTTCAGTGGTGGCCCATTACCATCAAACTCACAAAGCTTTCAGGTAAAGTAACCAACTTCAAAATTCTCTTCTCAACAGATAAATAATGTAATTAGACGGGGACCAGGATGGGCGTCAGGGAGAGCCTGGCCAGTTGACCCCACTCCCAGTGGGAAAGAACACCGAAAACTTCGGTCGTCTGCCACGTGCCCGCTGACCGGCCACGGCGCCCGGTCACACGGGGACGGCCAAACAAAGAGTGCAGCCTCCCATAGGCCAGACTAGGCGATCTCGGGTGGACACGTCACATTTTGCCGATGTTACCAAAATAAATCGACCCGTGGGACATTATGACGCTGGACATTATGCCGCTGACAGATACGAATTGTGGGCCAGTACGGCACTGTCAGACAATCCGTGGACCAATACACTGACAGAGCCAAACAATGGACCGTGGGCCAGTACGACACTGACAGGTGTGAAGTGGTTAAAGGGACACTCCCACCTTAACATTAGTTTTGAGTTGAGATAGCCAAATTGGTGGCCATGGCCTGCAAATACCGGTTTGGGCACTCACAACATCGACAAATGCTTTAATTCGGAGATATGGAATTTCAAACTTGCAGTTTTCGGATTCTAAGGGGCTAGTGCATTGGTATGCCCCCTTAGAATTTGTGACGTCAGCGGAGATCTAACGATTTTTAAATCTTTTACCAAAACGTTTGGTAGCACGCGGTGGTATATGCTGCTTTGCGCGCAACAAATGCCGCACTTTCAAATAAAGTCGCTAGGAACAGCGGAGATCCCAAAAAGTAAACAAAAGTAAAAGTCTAATATCTTGAAAACCGGTGAATATTTTTCGATGAAATTTGGTAGATATTCGTTTTCGCTCTTTCTGAACCGAGCGACATCACTTTCGTGCCAATTCATTAACTTTTTTGAAGGTGGGAGGGTCCCTTTAACCATCACGACAGTGACGGAGACGACCCATGGGCTACTGCGAAAATGACAGACGTCCCGTGGTTAAGTACGACATTGTCAGACGACTCATGTGAGTTATGGCATTACGCTACTGACAAGACGACCCGTGGTCCCTTTTGAAACTGAAAGGGACGCTCAGTACGCCCAGTCCAACATCCCGATCCAGCGTGGCCAGTGCGCCTCTCACCTCAAATTTGGGCTCCACGGGAAACTGGAAGGTGAGGCCGCGGAAGTTGAGCAGAAACAGGTGTCGCTCTCGATCGTAGATGCCCGGGTGGGTGGCCCCGAACGTCTGGTCCACCTGCTGTATAGATGGCGCCACCTCCGTGGAGCTGAACACACAGCCCCTGCCGGCGGGGAGGGAGAGAGTTGGTACAGGTGGCTCTGTGAGACTCAGGTGAACGGTAGGGTGATGGGGTTGACAAGGAGAAAGTCGGGTAATTGTGATGCTATGTTGCCGCCCACACAAGTGTTTGATGAACAGCACACCGCACAGGTGCATCGTAGACGAGGAGTAGTAAAGGACAAAAGACGAGGAATGCCTTAATAGAGATGATGGCTCTAGAGAATCACTGTAATTACGGCCAAATTGGCCAATGGGGCCAAGTGTGAATACATGGGCGTTGTAAACATACAGCAGCAAAGCGAATACCAATTTAGGACAAAACATCTGTTTCTCTGACGCACGTAGAAACCGTGCAAAATGTGAACAGAACCGAACTCCGGTCACAAAAACGGCGCACGAATTCGTCGTAAAAAGCGAAGTTCAATGTCAGAGGTGATTGCGTCACACGCTGCCTGGCGCGTCACAATCGTACAACGCAATAGGCGACGGTGGGTGAGTGGCGACACAAACGCCAAACAGAGAGATAATAAGTACGGCACGTTATACACGATCGGACGGGACATGGGACCCGCGGGACAGCGTCGCTCTAAACGTCCGTCGCATAAAGACTATTGCGGCCTGGCTGACCTGTGACTGAGATGGATGCCGACTATGTCACTGTTTCAATGAGTTACTTATCTATCGACTTTATTGACTTTTTAACTGACACTGACTTTTTTACCGACTTTTAATGACTACAAACATTACAATGGGATAATTCGACTGGAATTACGTGACCTTGAAACTTGAAAGTCTATTGAACATGGATTCAGTAAAATGAAGAATAGATACTGAAGTTTCAGGTTCCATGGTTTTTAAAAGAAACAGAAATAAGCAGACGACAGTTAAGGGCGTAACCCATTACATTCTAACGGTAAAAAGTGACAGAGTGCACGGAGCGCTGGCAGAGCGCAGTATGATAACGGTAATTGTCTCAGCAATCACGGCACCGACCCATTATAATTTCTAGTATTATCTTACCCGTATTTGAGCCGGAGCTTGCTCAAGTTGTACACTTCGATGACCTGGGAACAAAGAGTCAGGGTTTCAGGTCTACAGGCCACAGTAGATATCCCCAATCATCTTTCACAAGAAAAAACTAAAATAAGATCGGTCCAACACAATAGATATATCTTCGTCATTCTGTTTTTACTCATCGGTTCCTGAGATCCCGGGCCGTGACGGTCGGGCACTCCGAGTAAAAAATGCATACAAAAAGAGTATAAGTTAATTTCGCAACGTCATCCACCTCTCCGGCGACAAGGCCATACGGGCACATTTTACCCCAACGAGACGGGACTGATAAAGGCGAAGCCACGTCTCCGGCACCTGTTGCCGTCGGTTTCAGTATTTTGGCGCAAGTGGCTCAATTTAATCCCCCGCATCGACCCGCCTTGCCTATGACCTAGTTTAACCTGCAGCTAGGCTGCTTTGTTATTCACGTCATTTTACGTTACCTAGAATGGGGTGTCGGCAAACATGTATTCGTCTCGACCAGATGATTTCCGACAGCGTCAAAATAGGGTGGGTGTAAAGGTGTAAATACGCACAATACATTGTGACATTGCGCAATTACTGACAGTTAACGTCCGCCAAACTTCAGACAGTGCCACCAAACCTTATTTACACTTACACTTTGTGAAATTGGACGATGCTCTGCCTGCCTCAACTCGACAACCAAACCCCCAGGCGGCTCGGCCACGACCCAAGACCCGGTCATCCACCGCAGCGCCCGACAAAACACACTGGCAGCCGTCAGCGGGCCTTGAACGGGTGCAGCCAACCACCGGCCTTGACAGAGATGGGCGAGCGGGCGAGCGGCGCGCTGCCAAGACACAGCCGCCGCACGCACAGTCCGATCGGGGGGGGGGGGGGGGAGGGGGCTGCATGACCACAAACGGCCCGAGTGACGGATCGCGGTGCAGATAACACAGACACATACATACGGTAGCGTGACCGGTTTACGCTCGAGCATAGGCACGGGGACGGGGGGGCAGTGGGGGGCAGCTTCCCACCCCCCAACTCTGGGGCCGTGGGGGGCGGTGCCCCCACAACTTTGAGACGGAATGCTGTACTTTTTTTGCAAATAATTTCTTTTTTGTTGAAAAAGCCAAAGGATAAAAAATAAGTGGCCTAAAACCAGTGAGAAAACTAGATTTGGGGGTACCCTAGGTTGATCTCTATTATGGTGTGCCCCCTAGTCTGAAAGTAGTTCCCGCGCCCCTGCCGGCTCGAGTGCGTGACGATGGTACGTTGGTGGGTGGCTTGGCTAGCAAGAATTCATTACAAAAATGCCAATCCCTTCAGTCAGGTGTCAACTGCTATAGAACTTTTAACACCTACTAATGAGCTGTGATAGCAAATCAACTGACAAACGACGAGTAGCGCGGTTTAAGAAATAGAACCTTGGGATTAATGATGGACCCGAAAATTTCCCCAATGTATGTCCCACGGCAGCAGGCAAGCAATATCCATTTGGATACCAGACTCTTATCGATATCTATATTTTAGGGTTTTGTCGTCACCTTCGCTCGAATATAGCGAGCGAGCACCGGCGCGGCGGCTGCTTGATATGATATTCCTCGAATTTCAAATTAGTCATCAGATATCGATATCAACAGTCAGGCATCGAGGCATCACATAATAAACCATATTTTCCTTCCCCATGAACGTAACTATTTACCCACATATTGACAGAAACCAGAATACTGACAGGAATAAAGTACACATAAGGGGATTCACAAAATAAAATAGTGGAAAATTTGATGAAAGCTCAGATTTACCTTGAGCCGCTGGCCAACAGGATCAAAAAGTAGGCGGATGCCATCATTGGTCATATTGATGACCAAGTCATGATCCAGCGGGTTCTGAAACAGAAACGGTATGTTAACCCACGCACTTGTAGGGGAGGGGTGGGGTCGGGCGGCCCCCCCCCTCGGTTTTTCGCGAATAACTCGCGCAAAAAGCAGCCGATCGCGACGAAACTTTCAGTACCATCGATTAACCAATTTTACACATACGCTCGAAATTTCATGACCCTGACCCAAATGACCTTTGAGACCTGTGCTCTTTTTCTCGAGACCATGTTAGGCCAGAATCGCGATTCCGCGTACATGTCGGCTCATTATCCGTGCGTTTGTAGTCTTTTTGAGGTGTTCAGCGTTCAAACATGTGAAATGATGTTGGGTTGGTCCCATGCGTTATGGTGGGTGTCAAGGTCACGTGAAGGTCAGGTCAGGTCAATGACCTTTGATGACCTTGATTCACTTTTTCGATTTCTACATGTTTCTTGGCTAGTTTTTGGAGATTATTTCGAACCTAGCAACTATTTGAACATTTACGAAGCACCTAGCTTTGGTGCCTTCTTAACATGTTACGAACTGTTATCTGTTATCAACTACTGTCAGTGGTAGTTGATACCTATTATGAATACCTGGCAGGACCTCTAATGGTTGACCTGACCTGAGCTGACCTGACCAGACATGGCCTAAATGCATAAAGACATCATCTGTGTTCAAACCTAACATGAAATTCGTGATCAGCACCCCGAAAAACCCCTTCACAACCTCACTTTAAAAAGTTCTGACAGGCTCCGATTTTCCCGACTTTTGGGTCATTGACCTGTCCTGGAAGGTCAACCAATGACCTAGGACCTTAAAATTGGGTATCATCGGCTTCCTCTCGTCACGATCAGCACGCTCGTTTTTTTCCGCGAAGCTCTAGCTCGATCAGGGGCGAAACGGCAAGGGGGGGATCCAACGGACCCCTATACGTTTGCGGCCGGCAAAACACCAATACGGGCGAGGGTTAGAATAAAAACATTGTTGACAGGCTCCTTATCCAATAACCACACTAGAAACTTGTGTTTCCACTGATATACAAACCCATTCATTTGTAACACCTGAACACTAACACAGCTACAGCTAAATTTTTCTCCAAAATTTTGTTGGAATAGGGGAACACCATGGAACACTGTCCTTCATTATCTATTCATACCAAGCAATCACATGGGATTGAGGAGACTCATACTTACTGTATCACTGTAGCTTATGTGAACATCCCTTATCACTCCAACCTGTTGCTGAATAATGTTAACAGCTTGTGAGAAGTGCATGCCTGAAAGAAAAGGAGCACATTTTAATCAGCTTCATCCCTAGTGTATCCCTATAAGCATTGGTTCATTTGGTTCATCCCTCAACATTTTTTTCTTTGCTTGTTAATAGAAAAAGGTAATTTATGTTTCTGACACAAAGTAAGACTTTGTTATCATATGGATAATTAGAAAGTAGTCAACTGAAACATTACATAATCAAGTAACTTTATATGTTCTTTTTATAGAATGACAGCTGTACACTGTACAGCCTCTTTTCAAAGCTTGTAATCAGGGTCATTTCAAGTTGGGAGTCACATTCCACTACTGCTTGTTCAAACCAGTACCAGAATTTCTACCTGTATCTATGTCTCCTTTGGACAATATTTCTATGATGAAAAAAATTAAAACTGTTTCTTTGCCACTGCTGGCATGCAGTGTGTCAAGTTTTTACAAGTCATTAATATTAAAACAGTTTTATGGGAGAAATGAGGCTATATCTGCAGATACAGGTTGCAGCTGACCATAGCTTCTTTCATGAGCTAATTTGGAGCATATTTATTGAATTATGCTTACATTCTGAAATCAACTCTAAAAGCAAACTAATGACAAAGATCAACATTGAGAAACTGAAGCATATTATTTAGGCTTGCATGCACTTTCTCTGCTAACAAGGATGAATGCCAGGATTTGTCTACTTCTGTAACTTCTGTAATTTGTGCACAATCAATAAAGATAAACTTACAGATTATGCTATCTTGATCTAGCCTGAGCCTAAGTCAAAGTCAAGTTAGTCAAGATAAATTTGCAAATATTTTTTTGGGACTGGTTTAAAGCACTGAACCAAGCAAACCATCAAAGCTAAGCACAAAAAAGTGAGAACCTCCACAGCTTGATTAATGTTATGCCACACCAACACAAGTTAAGTGCTTTGGTTGTTTATTGGAGCTTTAGGGCGCGCCGACTACTGGGGTCATTTTGCGCCCCTATACTTTATGCTGTGGTTGTCTTTGCTCCCAAATATTGATCAATGTCGATCTCTATCAATAGAAGCTGTGTTATAATAGAAACAAATGATAGGCATTCCTAAGCATCCAGCCTTATCAACCGCGCCTTGTCATTGTCATGCATGGCTCACGAGTCCCAGGCTAAAACCGTGGTGACAGGCTTGAGCTGTGGCTGAACAAGGGTGGAACTTGTCTATTTCATATCCTAATCTAAGAAGCAGATAAACCATAATAAGTAACGAGCACAAGAGGAACATGAAAAATATGTGCATTGACTTACCCAGAATGAACTCCCATTGTTCATGCGACAAACTGCTCTCAGGGACCACTTCCAAGTCAAGCATTCTTGAATAATTAATGCACAAGAATGTTTGATACACAAATAAGCAATGAAACTATAAGTATGCTTCAGAAATATGTTCTCACGCAGCAAAAATCGCACTACCCTTTGTCCCGTAGCCTTCAACTTCCAGTGATCCCAAAATGAAAACAAAACAAAGTAGTCCGTCGTGATGCGTCGTTTGCTGTCAAGGGGCTACTACATTTTCTGTTGATGACGTCATTGCAATATTAATATATTTTTTTGACACTAAATTGATCAATATCTGTTAATAAAAATACTTTTTTTGCCATTTCTTTTTGTTACAAAACATATCAGTTGTTAATATATGAAAATACAACTTTTTTTTACTAAATGAGCTCATCAAAATCAAAGATATCCAAAGAAGCATGAGGTAAATAACCCAAGATGGTGCCTGAGGGCATCAGATGTTTCCTTGACCAATCAGCTGTTTTGTTATCGTCACCTGCCCGACGGCCCGACCAAGAATCTTGGCCCGACCCAGAGTATATAGGTAGTGATAGGCCCGAAACCGTGGCAGCCGTATGGCTACCCATCTACGCTGGAGTACGAAAAACATCATCTCAAGTTCCACCATTGTTTTTTTTTTGTATGGAGAGCCTCAAAGGAAGGCACGCCCTCGGTTTGCTCCGGGAACCATACTCTGCCCATTGCCCATTACCCTCATGAATCGGCCGGGGAAGGGGCGGGAGCAAGATGAGCTGAGGGGCTCAAGGTTCCCCGATCCTCCGATGAGGTTAGAACCTACCCCTTTATAACATTTGGCCTTCAACTTTTCGTCTTTTCTATCTTCGGCCTTCAGCTCGCTCCGCACCCCCTCATAGAGATCTCTAGTCTCTACACAAATTTACTGAAATTACATGAAATCCATTATATATTGATTTGCTGGTAACGTCTCTTTGCTCTATGACTGTGACCCCTTGTCCAACTATGGCGCCTCTCAGACATTCCCTTCCTCGTTTTGGACGCCGGTGAAAACAGGGCGCCGGAGGGCATATTAATCACGTGACATTTGGAGCTTCTCCCGTTCCAAGGGCCTTCTATTTGCCAAACGTCACGTGTAAATTTCACGAACCTTGATCAAATCGCCCCAGGCGCCCTGTTTTCACCGTCGTCCCTCGTTTTCCCGTGTTGTACACACAGAAGTGCGTTTATTCCAATTTTATTCCATGACTTATAAAGATATAAGACAATAGAATTGTTCGGGCTGCGAGTTAACGTCGATAATAATATCCCATGTATTTCTAGACCTTACTTCAGGTAACTGTCAATTAAGTAATTAATTCCCTGTTTTTCGGTGTCGGGATTCCGTCGGGATCGGACGTGCCCATCGAGCTCCTCCTTACTGCCTGGCTAGTCAGCTGATTGGTGCCGGGCCATAACTCGATTGGTCGACGCCAAGCAGAGTTTCTCACTTTTCCTGGTTTTCTTTCCTGGTCTTTGCTATTTCCTAATCCACGGATCACATCTTCGTAAACAAAAACAACAAGAGTAAAGAAAATCAAGAAATGCCGTTAGAACGATCGCCGGTACTTTCCCGCCGAAACCAAGGAGGGACGCCAGCTGACCGCAATCAGCCTCAAGACGCTAGCGTCGGGAACGGTTTCAAAAATGCGACCGGAGTCTCCGAGAAAAGCAAGGAAAAAAGTCGCGACGGGGAAAGCGGTGGAACCAGGGCTTTAGCTATCGGTGGCTGTGGTGATGGTGGCGGTAGCGAAGGAGGGAGCGACGAGCACCATAAACAGGGAAGCGTGGCGGCGGTCGGCGAGAAAGACATCGATTCAGGTATGGAACAAACCTCGACGAAGCAAACCAAGGTGGGTAAACTCAATCAAAGCGTCTACAAAGCTTTTGAGCAGGAATCTGGCGGTACCCTATCACGCTCCTCAAGCGACACGAGCAGCACAGAGGCAATCTGTACTGGTGGCCCTGACAAGGTATGTGGAAACCCTGTGAAAAATGGCGAACCTGGGGTCTGCTGTGATAGGTGTCACGAATGGTTTCATCCCAGCTGCCAAGGGATTCCAAAAGCTGCTTCTAGAGCTCTTGAGAGATTTCAGGCCCTCGCTTGGCTTTGCATGACATGCAAGACAGATTTAAAGGGTGGAAAGGAAAAATCTCTCCTTTTGCAACTGCGGTCCACTGAGAACAGGCTGCGGCAGCTCGAAGATGCAGCTAAGAGAAACTCGGAGCTTTTCCTGACCTCAGTCAAGTCTCACGAGAAATCGATTAAGGACCATGCATCCCTGCTTGAAAAATCACTCAAATCCATTGAGTCGCAGACAGTCAAGCAGTCTCAGTTGCTTGAACTTACAACCCAGCAACACAAGGTCTCTTATGCTGAAGCAGTAAAAAGTACTTGCTCTGAGGTGGCTCAGGTGGTGAAAACTCAATTTGCCCAGCTTCCAAAATCCGGCCAACACGAAGAGCGCAAGGCTACAATGGATCTTTCCAAGGTCCTTGACAACCATCTCGACAAAGAGAGAAGGAAAGCGAACCTTGTTGTTCACAACCTTCCCGAGCAGGTAGAAGGCACCTTCTACGAGAGGTCTGTAAAAGACCTGTCCCTGTTCACTGAGATAGTCAAGAATGAGATGAAGATAAACGTAAGGGCATCAAAGTCGTTCAGAGTTGGTAAGGCAGTGCCCGGGAAACCACGACTACTGATAGTAACTCTGGATAACCCAGCTTGTAGACATGATGTACTTAGGTGTGCTCCGCAGCTGCGCCACTCTGTGCAGTACCCCAACATCTACATCACGCCTGATCTGACTCAGCAGGAGAGAGAGGTGAACAGGAAGCTCAGAGATGAGCTCACATCAAGACGTAGAGCAGGTGAAACAAACCTGAAGATCAAGGGAGGCAAAATCATCTGCCTAACCCAGCCACCAAATGAAAACAGCAAAGCACCAGGCAAGAGCAGTGTGTCTGGTGGCACCTCAGTGTCCTCTCAGTCCAGGGAGTCAGAGTCTAGAAGCCATGTCCCCGACAGTGTCCCTGCTCAGCCAGCCCCTGCCGCTCCTCAAATTATTGGGGCTACACCCGCAGCCCTTGATAACAACGAGGGTCAGGGTCGCGCAGGTCTGCCTGGTGCAGTACGGGAATCTGGTGGCACCTCTGGCACTGAAGGCCACTCAGCCCAACCAGAAAATGCTGCCCCTGGCTTTTGACTAAGTCACCCAAGGCAGCGCATCAAGGGTCTGACAGTTCTGTATACAAATGCCGACCAGTTCACCACCAAACGGGACGACCTCTGCATGCTAATCTGCAATGATGAACCAGACATTATTCTCATCTCTGAAGTGATTCCCAAGGCCCAAAAAAATCCAATAGCCCCTGCACTGCTCCACATCCCTGGATATACTATGCACCCTAGCTTTGCACCTCTACACCCAACTTGGGTACTAGCGGCATGAGAGGTGTATGCATTTTCACATCTGAAAAACTAAGTGTGTCTGAAGTCTTTCTAGAACACTCATCAGTGGAGCACGCCTGGGTGAGTTTATCACTCACTGGAAGCGATCGCCTTCTGTTGGGATGCATCTATAGAAGTCCTTCTGGTTCTCCAGAAGAAAGTATGCAGCACCTTGAGGGTCTGTTTCGGCAGGCATGCCTGTTGCCATTCTCCCACCTCCTCATCGTCGGCGACTTTAACTTCCCTTACATTGACTGGGAATCAGAAACCGCACCAGCTCAGCACATCTCACACTCCTTCCTGGACCTGATCCATGACTGCCTCCTCTTTCAGCATATAAAGCACCCAACTCGATACCGATTGGGCGAGACCCCATCTGTCCTTGACCTGGTCCTCACGAATGAGGAGGGTATGGTCACTAGCCTCCAGTACCAGCCTGCGTTAGGAAATAGCGACCACCTGGTCATCCGGTTCACCCTCTCTTGTTACACAGATACCGCTACTTCACTCCCTCAGTGTCGCACGATCACTGACTTTGCGCAACTATCCGCTGAGCTGGGTGCCCGAGACTGGTCAGAGCTTGATAACATGAATTTGGATGATGCATACGCAACATTCAAGGCACGGCTATCCGAGGCTGTGTCACAAGCCTCCACAAGAAGAAAGATCCGCCCCAAGAAAAACATCTACATGGACAGAAAAGCAATGCAGCTGCGAAAGAAAAAGAAGTTACTCTGGGGTGAATATCGACGAACGCTAGACCCAATTGACCACGCCAGGTTCGTACGCTGTAGGAATGAGCTAAGGAAACTCACAAGAAATTTGCGAAAGCAATACGAATCCAGCCTGGCGGGTAAACTAAAAGAAAATCCCAAAGCCTTCTGGAGATACGCTAGCACAAGACTCCGTACCAAGAGCAGAGTTGAAGACCTAGTCAACGAACATGGAGCGCTAGCATCCTGCAACCAAGAAAAGGCTAACATCTTGGGAAGGTACTTCAGTGGCATTTTCACCCACGAAGCCAACGAACCAGAGCCAGAACTTAACGTGCGGTGGGATGGACCTGTCCTCGAAGACATCGACGTTTCTGCGCAAAAAGTGGAGGCAAAACTGACTTCCCTCAGACCAAACAGCTCTCCAGGACCCGACTCCATACAGCCTCGAGTCCTCCGCGAATCTGCAAGGACCCTCGCGATGCCCCTGAGCACACTATTCAGGAAGTCACTGGATGCTGGAGCCCTCCCCCCAGAATGGAAGACCGGAGAGATCACCCCTATCTTCAAGAAAGGAGACCGTCAGAACCCCTCGAGTTACAGACCTATAACACTAACGGCCATCCCCGTCAAAGTCCTGGAGTCAATCGTCCGAGACGCCCTCCTCCAGCATATGTGCACAAATGATCTGCTTGACAGCGCCCAGCACGGGTTCCTCCCAAAGAGGTCCTGCACTACCCAGCTGATGGAAGCGATGGAAGATTGGAGCTGTGCTCTCGAAAATGGCGAGGCCATTGACATCATCTACTTGGACTTTGCTAAGGCCTTCGATTCCGTGCCGCACAAACGATTGATACACAAGCTGTACGCCTATGGTGTCAGAGGAGCCCTTCTCAATTGGATTGCGGCCTTTCTGGTCGGTCGTCGACAGAGGGTCGTGGTCCAGGGAAGTAAGTCCCCTTGGGCACCGGTGACGAGCGGAATTCCCCAGGGATCGGTCCTCGGACCTGTGCTGTTCACTATCTTCGTCAACGACCTGCCCTTGGAAGTGTCTGGCTCAGTCAAGCTTTTCGCAGATGACACTAAGCTTTATCGACAAGTGCCCGGTACCGGCAC